TTTCACATGATATTTTTTGAACTCATTTTCGAACTGTTTCTTAACTCGAACTTTTATGAAACAGGACCGAACAGGACTTTTAACATCCCTAATAATTATATCAAGATTACAATTATATTGTATAATGTGGCTTATAATATATTTTAATCAAAAATTGGTTCAACTAATTTAAATTGGCTAAATACAAAAAAAAATTTTTAAACTATTATGCCTTTTTCAAAAAATAATATCTTTTAGCTAAAGTTTTATAAATTTACTTTACATAACTACTTGTATAAAAAGTATAATAATACTCGACGACATAATCTCAAATTATGGTCCGAATTAAGCATAGCGTGGTCGTGATTCGAAAAAAGCCCGAGTGCTATTTCATATTAGCAATGCATGGGGAAAAATAAGATTTTTTTATAGTACAAGAACATTGTCATACATGGGAATAAAAAGATCAAATTTTTTAAAACTAGTAACCAGCAAGTCACATGACAGGTGATATCACGGAACAATTATTCTCTTCGCTTTTACAGCTTTATCTATTATCGTTATTATACGTACGTACGTACTTATGGTACTGATTAATATGTAATATCTACGTCATTTTACGATAAAGATCATATACAAGTCACGCACCAGAGAAATCGCATAAAAAGAGTTTCATTGTTTAGGTTAAACTTTCAAAAACTTGAATAAACACACATACATATATATAAATATAAATATAAATATAAGCAAAATGGTTTCAAGAGCGATCTTTAATCAAGATACAAGTGGGTATAAATTTGATTTTGAAGATTTCATAAAAAATGAATTGGGTCTTCGATTAAATAAAAATTGTAATTATTATCTTTATTATTTTGCGTATACATTTTTTTATTTTTTCGAGTTTAAAATGAGATCATGTAATGTACTTAATTTGTTAGTAATATGTATAAAAAAAAAAATAATACTTTTCAATTTATTTTATCCAATCACCGCGAGTCACATTCTCATAATATTTTTTTAAAAAAATGAAATGAAAAAAAATTCTAATAAAAAAAACAAGGCAAACATCGTAATCCTTCAGAAGAAGTATGTCAAGATTTCTTACGCGGAATATGCAAACGTGGTACATCATGTCGATATCTTCACTCAATTAAAAAATCCATAGTTTGTAAACATTGGTTACGCGGTCTTTGTATGTTAGAAGATCAATGCGAATATTTACATGAATATAATTTACAAAAGTTACCAAAATGTGTTAATTATGTTGTATTCGGTGCGTGTTTGAGTCCAAATTGTGTTTTCGCGCATGGTGATTATAATATCGAGATTTGTGAGGACTTTGAGCGTGGACTTTGCGTAAAAGGTATTTTGAATTTATTTTTTTATTATTATCGCAATCAGAGTTTTTTTAAAAAAAAAAAAATGTTTAATCTATGTATCTTTGTATTATATATATATTTTAGGACCTAATTGTAAAAAAAAACATGTGAAAAAAGCGGCATGCGCATCGTTTATTGCCGGAAATTGTCCGAGGGGTGTGGCATGTTCTGAATTTCAGTAATATTATTGATAACTCTAATTCAAATTTGAAATTCACGTTGATACATCATATAAAATTATTTTATTGATTTAAAGACTTGCTATTCATTGTGATTGTGATTTAGTCCAAAGCTTGAACTACCCGATAATCAAATTTTACTTGAAATTCCGGATCAAAAGTTTGGTGTCGCTTACGCAGTACAGTTATTCTTAATAATAATAATAATAATGATAACAATTGGTTGATACGATAATGAAATATAGTTATTCACACTTATATTTATAGCAAGGTCAACAACGTTGGTCGTCTCGATCGTATCATGCTCGACGACATAATTTAGAAATAATATGTTTTCGGGTATGTTTTTACAAAATCCTTATTACAATAAATATAATGAATGAATGATTCATAACTTTATTTAACTTTCGTTGGGTAGTGCGGAAAAAAAGGACATAAAGCCTATAATTGTCGATATTTAGAGAAATCATTTTCGAAAGGAAATGAAATTAGCACAAAGTAAATTCATTTATCGGATATTCTTTAAACAGAAATGTAATGTATATACATATTTAAGAATTTTTCTAGTATCCTGCTTAGTTTATCTATTTTATGATATATTTTAAAATCAAAAATTTCTTTTTCTTAAATTAGATCACAATATTATTTATAACTGTCGACTAGTAAAGAACTTTAAAAACAAAAAATTGCTCAAAAAATCTATATACAGTATATGAATAAAATAAACATGCATAAACACTAATTCTTCATCGTAAATCTCAAAGAATTTAATCATCATCAAGTTCGAGATAAAAGACTCCAGATAAACCCACAGTATTAACCGGAAAGACCATTGCGATATAATTTTCTTCATATGTCCACGATTCTTGGGGCTCAAATTCGACATAGCCAACTCCATAGTACTATTTTAATGAAAGAAAATTAAGACCAATTTTAATGATTATTTTATTAAGTAATTTGAGACTTACAGCAGTATCTGTATAAACGACTGGCCACGGTGGTTCATATGTAGAATTCCAACCATAGATTACAACTTGAACAACTGTGTTATCTGTTATTATATATAAAGACGCGTACAAAAAAGATCAGCCATCTCATTAAGATTGTTAAAGATCTACGGTATTTGTTAGAGGTGAGTGTGTTATAAGTGTTAAATAATACTTAAAGTTCTCTCAACTCTGAAGACACGTACAAGTCAGATCACCACAATCAGTGGTATTCCAAATAACATATGATGTTTCACCAACAGTGACAAGTTGGTTTTCTAATGGATAGGTTACATTAATTCTACAATCTGTGGAAGCAGAGTCTTGCCTTTTGAATGCCTTGCGTTTTTCAAGTGACGATGCAAAGACCATGGCTGTAAATATGAACATGAATAAATTAAAAATCTGAAATGAAAATTTCATCTTTATTAAGAAAGAACGTGGACTTTGTAAGAGATTTGTTGGTTTTATTAAACAAAAAATCTTATCTCCCAAACTCTTCACAAATTCAATGAGCTTAATTATTGAATATATAAATCAGTATCTATTCGCGGGATAATACTGTAGGCTTTCTTTATTGAGGCTGGGTGGCGAATAATTTATTTAAGTATTTGGCTCGTAATAATATTTATTTATATTTGTTTGCAACTTTTTTTTAATAAATAATAAAACATCAAAAGATGTCATTTCTTTTCACGTGATTAAAGCTTTTTTTTAGTAATATTGTTTAAAAAAAAAAGGTACTTAGTACGTATATTTCGAGATGATATATAATATGGACCATATATATATAACATTGTAAGAATAACACTAGCAATAATCAAAATAATCTAAAAGTTTTTAATGACTAATTTTGATGCAATAAATTCTTTTAATTGGCTTAGATGGCTTGGCTAGCAAAAAAATGATCCGAATATATATTGTTTAGAAAACTCTCAATATAAAGTTAGTCATTTTATAAGGATTTTAATACATATGGGTTACCAGCCGCTTGAAGTTACCACATGCTTGAAATTGCACTTGCCCAAAAATATTAATTTCAGGGGCTTAAATTTTATTTGTTTTAAATACAGTAGAATTAGATAATTGTCTGTAGCAACGTCCGTTAACGAAATTTCTTGGTCAGATGATATGGCATAGTGCTACAAATCGTCAAAAATTTTGCAATCGATTAGTTGTCAACTTTTCGATTATTCGATTTTTATTCGATTTT